GCAGATTAGTTCCATCAAAAAGTCTGCCACGAAGGCAAATTTCTCCTAATATTAGATCCAGGAATTGCCTTGTCTTCTGGATAGGGTTCAAAATTACAGGGATACGTAACTGATCATAAATTGTCGCAAACGCAAAAATTTAGTCTGCTATTCAACGACGGTTATAAAATTAAAAAGTTACCAAATACGGCACAGAACAAAATCATGAAAATCTACGCATGCGCAGTTTAAAAGAACTACTTTAAATTCTTATTTGTTAATGATTTTTTTTTCAATTTTAAAGTGTTTTTTTTATTATTTAAAAATTAGTACGATTTTTCTTTTAAAAACTTACGTTCTTACTGCATAATAAACTTGCAGTAAGCAATCATAAGGTTAAAAAAAGTAACTTTTTTATAAAATTGTCGGTATTTTAAGGAATATTTAACCTAGGTTTACGGAATAGTGTGCAGCTATCGCATATGATTATCAAAGTAATTAATGCAAGTTACAAGCGGTTTAAATTATATTTTGTATAGAGTGTTCAAAGACACATTTTTTTTCGTTCTTAATTTATTGATGGTCCCTCAAGCCTCTGAAAACTTTAGGCTTTACCGATACGTATGAGAATGTATGAGTACCGATAAAAATGATCTAAGGAAATGAGAAAAAATGTGAAGAAAATTAAGTGATTCTTTCATTGCTATTGTGAATATTACGAAACATTTTTTTAAAATAGTACTACATTCTATACAAAAATGTGATTTCTAAAAATAATAATAAATAAATAAAAACGAATTTTCGTAAACTATCAAAAGATTGCTTTGAAACTTTATAACTTTATCGTTTGGGGTTAACATTTCTTTTTCTAAGCAAAAACAAATCATGTTCTAGTTTAAGCTGAATTAAATGTTCAAGATCTTTCTTTTTAAAAAGAGAAAGTACATAATGAAACGCTATTTACCGTGAGAGTCATTACTATTCATGAGTGTAAACTATCTTGATTATCCCTAACGTTATATATTCTTGTCTTGTACTTGTTTTAGTTAAAACTATTTCTTTACTTTCAAACATTCATTTAAAGAAAAAATAAAGTGCGTTGAAGTGGCGTGAGTTTTTCGCTTTTTAACTAGAAAATTTTTGAGGTGGGTGTCCTCACGGATTGAAGAAGTAAAATTTTTGAACAGTAAATAAGTTTTCCATTGTTATACTTCTTTTACACAAAAGTAAAGTAATTATGATGCCACAATAGGCATTACATGTTTCCTAGTTTTTAAAATTTCTTTGATTTCTTGAACTTATTTTTAACCATTATTAATCAAATTATATTAAATTAAATACATTTGTCAATGTTTATAAAAAGCGAACATAAAATATTTTATTCTTTTCTTATGGATCAATGTAACCGCTAACGTTTTAATAATAATTCAATTCTAATGCAGACTCATTATTCTCACAGTCTTGTTGGCGATTCGTGATCACCCAAGTATTTTCAAACCTAATATTGATTATGGGGGGGGGGCTTTTCAGCTATATTATCCTTCGATAAATCAGCAATCTTGGATCCCCTCCATGCTCCTAACTGTCCGTTGGGAACATTACAATCACTTTTTAATTTGGCTTTTGATTAGGCAGGTCATGGGGGATTTATCTCCCATGGCCAGTCTTTATTGATATTTTCATGCTATAAAATTTATTTAACTTAGAAAGTCTTAAGAATAAAAATATAATTTGTATCTCGAGCTCGACAAATATTACTAAATAATTCCGCATCCGGCTTGCACCGACCACAGTGCTGACGCGAAATATCCTCAGTGGTAGACGGATCATGAGTTAGAGTCCCCTTGCCGTCAGACTAACTTTGTTAGGTTCTTGTTGTCTTCCTCCCCATGTAATGTATAAATACGGGTAAGTTACATCAAAACGTCCTCCACGAAAGCACATTTCTCCCAATACTTGATCCAGAAGTTTCCTTATCTTCTGGATTGGGTTCAAAATTACAAGGTTATGGAGTTGAACATCAGTAGTCGCAAACCCAAAAATCGGGTCAGCTGTTGTACGACTGTTATAAAATCGACTATAAAATATTACTAAATAATTCTCATCCAATATTCATTTCATCACAATCTTCAATTAGTCAATTAAATCATATAAATCCAACCACACCTGATTTTCGTCCTAAAAGGTATATGACATAAACCGGAATGTTCTATTTTTCATTGTTTCGCTTCTGCTTTTATACAAAAGTAAAATCATAAAAGAAGTACATTTTACGTCGAATAAAAAAAGAATATTTTATTCTTCGTTGATATACTGCTGCTTTTATTCGAAAGTAAAATAATAAAACTAAAGTAAAATTTGTATGTAAGGAAACAAGAGTTTCTCTGAAAAGTAAAAAGAAATAATCTTAGTTATATAAAAGTGTGAATTGTTTTAATTTTAAGACTGTTTGTTAGAGATTAAATATGTTAATTTGAAATCACTTCAATATCTGTTGTTATGTGAAAAATAAAATAATAAAAACGTGAACTATATGCAATATAACAAGAATTTTTCCATTCTTCATAAATCATCCCCTTGATGTGCGAAATTTTATAAAAAAATAAGTAAAACTAAATTTTTAAAGAAGCAATGTTACAAAGAAAAAGTAACAGAATGTTAAATGATAAAAAAAGCAAAATTCTTTGACATGAAAAATGGAAACCATATTTTTTTACATTTTCTTTTTCTTTCGAAGTTAAGAAGTTTTTTGAATAAACTGCATCATAACTTTTTTCGAGAATAATCTGGCCTCAAAAATATATTTCAGGCTTTTTCGAGCAAAAATTTGTTGCAAGTGTTACGCCAAGAAAATTATTCACCATTTTTTTTAAAACCCACACAGTCAAATTTTAGGAAAAAAAATTTTATTTGATTTTTTTTTAGAATTTAATTAGTATTTTATAACTTAAAGGAATGTTTTGCTATATTTAACTATTAGTGTAAAAATTATTATTAAGATTAACAATAGTTGACCACAATTTGCGGAAAACTGTTAAGCTCAACTTTTATTCTCGTTGCTAATATTTGCGGAAAAAAAAAAGAAAATGGGAATCTCTTAGTATGCATAATTTATATTTCAGCTTATGAGAATAATGTACAAACAATATTTCGGCAGAATGTAAGCTGTAATACTCAAGTTGTATTTAGGTTATATTTAAACATTTGGCAACAGTAAGTTATATACCAATTTTTTTTATAATCTATTTCAAATAAATTTAAACAAGTACTTATTTTAAACAAGTATATATTTAAACGTTTAATTAGATAAATATTTGGATAACTTTTATGTTATAAAAACTATTACAATAACATTATTATTTTTTTACTTTTTCGCTCATTTAATTTTTTTTTCATTTAACGCTAGCTGAAATCCCGTTCCTCATGTGGGGTGAAAGAAAATAAATAATAAGTTATATAATATCGATAAGTGTAATAATAATTACATTTACATCATGCACAAAATTGGAAGACATATACCAAAACAATTTATAAAGGCAGTCCAGGTAGTCGAGTGGTCAGTGTGCCTGACTGCGAAGCCGATTGCTGCGGGTTCGAGTCCCGCCCAGGGCATGTATGTTTCTTTTTGTGTTGTTATCCTGTAATGTATGAAATTCCCCCCCCCCCCATATGAACGGGTACCTGTGGCAGAGTGCCGTGGGTAATGTTGCTCGCATCTGTGGATTTTGTTTAATGGTGCCCACTGGGTAACTATAATTGAGCAACACTTTAGTCATCTTTTAAGGTGAATAATGCTTAAATAACGCTATTTGTTAATTAGAGGCGTGATGGCTCAGGGGATAGAGCATTCGCCTTTTAATGAAGTGAACCGGATTTGAATCCCATTGATGGCTGGTCAATATGAATTCTCAATCCAGCTTGCACCGACCACTGTGCAGACGTAAAATATCCACTGTGGTAGGCTGATCATAGGTTAGAGTTCCCTTGCCGTCAGGCTAACCGTAGGAGGTGTTTGTGGTTTTCCTCTGCATGTAACGCAAAATCGTGTTAGTTCCATCAAAAAAGTCTTTTATGAAGGCAAATTTATCCCATTGCCAGGAGTTCCCTTATTTTCTGGATTGGGTTCAAAATTACAAGTCTACGAAGTTGAACGTTAGAAGCTGTAAACTCAAAGTTGGATCAGCCATTCAATGATGGTTATAATCATTTGTTCATTTAAAATTATTTGCTGCGACTCCCCGGTTTTATGCGATTAGCTTGATCAAGACGTTTTTAGAAGTTCATCCTATCATAATAAACATTAACTGTACTCAGTATCTATCGGATTGTACTTTTGCTCGATACCAACAGTATTTCTCTGATTGATACTGTCAAAATAATTGTCAAAGTTTACTACAATCGAGCAATTCTCTCCGGTACTTATAATTTTCGAGGAGCTATGGGAAATCTCATTCTATAGTATGTATTCTAAAACTGTCCAACATTGATGCTGTTTTAATAGGTATACCCATTATATTAACAGGGGTATGTTTATATTTGCTATCTATTAAAACTGTATCAATTACCTTAACACCAGTAATACCAATTACTAAAAATAATCGAGCACCATTGTTATCAATAGTGGTACAACGATTTTCTGCGTTTCTTTTAACCGGATTGTTAGCAGCTCTCTATTATTTCGGATTTTAATACGTAGCTTAAATTATTTAGCATCTATTAGAAAAATTAATTATGCATCATTGGCTTCAATTATGGTATTGCGAATTTTTATGATTCGTTTAAAGGAAATAATTCCTTTATTTTCTTTTCAACTTATTTTTATTTCAAACTAGCCGCAAAGGCGGCCAGCTGTCCGCCACGCTAAAGGTTTTCACAAATAAAGTTTTTTAAAACATAGCAGGAAATCTGAAGACTAGTGGACAATTAAAGTGTTCCTGTCCTGCAATTTTGCCTTCATATCCAGTTCTGCTGCAGATGTGTTATAACTCTTGAGGATGTTTGAAGATGTAACTTTGCTATGGTGACCTAAGGCCTATGGAAACCTAACCTATAATATAACTATCAGGTGGAGACTTTTTTTTTTTTAAAAAAAAAGGCCTCAGAAATTGTAAAAGCATACAAAAGTTGCTTTCGAAATCATCATTGGCCAATAGCTGAAAATTACAGCGCAGTTAATAAGATATTTAAGAAACAGCAATAAAATATTCCTATTTCTTCCTAATTTTCCCCTAATAAAATATTAATATTCCTATAACTTCCTATTCTTGTAAAACTTCTTTATAAACAATATTTTTAGTTTTTCCATTTGGTGCGAATAAGTATAAGTTCTTTTCTTCACCAACTCTTGAGCAGCCAACATAAAGCTGTCCATGTGAAAAGCAAGGCTTCTGCAAGTCAAGACCAACGACTTTTAAAGATTGTCCCTGAGATTTATTTATACTCATCGCAAAACTAAGTCGAACAGGAAACTGAAGTCGTTTAAACTGAAATGGATTGTCTGAAGATATGATGGGGATGCGAGGAATAAGCACACTATTTCCTGTTGACTGTCCTGTTATAATCATCGCTTCAATAACATTAGGCATCAATTTTTTCACAATCAATCTTGTTCCATTACACAATGCAGGTGGATCCAAATTTCTTAAAAGCATAATTGGTGCTCCAATTTTCAATTCTAATTTATGTGCAGGCACTCCAGGTGGTTCCAATGAGTTCAAAAATTCTGTCGGATAGTTGACAACTTGATCTATTTCCATGACAGCGTCCATC